TTTATGCATGTTTAATCAATGTTTAACTTCATGGAATTGAATCTGTTCTTCGTTGTTTCAGAAAGATAGTAAATAAACTGTAGTTCTGTAATTTTGCTCTGTTGTGTAGTATTTTGTTTTCAATTTAAGATTGATGATATATCATTGTTTTAAAATCAATCTGGAACTGAATTATGCCTTAAAACATGCACTAAAAATTTCTACAAGAACTGGTACTCACAGAAAACAGAGAAGACGACGAAACTGCTAAGGGGAAAAAAGAGCAGGCTCTTATAACCCCTTAGAGCCGGCTCCTAGAAGGTAGAGCCGGCTCTAATGAGCCTAGAGCCGGCTCTGAAGAAAAGAAGAGCAGGCTCTTTTAATTTCTAGAGCCTGCTCTCTCTTAATTTGTCCAGAAATTGCATTTTTGTGGTCCGTTTGGTTGAGGTTTGAATTTCTAAAATAAATTGGAAGCTACTGAAGGTTGTAATTTAAGGTTTAAGACTTATAAAAGTGATGGGAAACAAGCCTACATTCAAATAATGAGGATGGAATTAATCCGAGTTTAGATAGAGAACTGGTAGGAGGATGAATGGGAATTAAATTTCTGTTGTTTATGGATTTTGGAATTTTTACTTCTCTGCCAAATCTTAAACTGCTAATCATGTTTATGTTGTGATAAAAGCATATAGTAGTATTGTCAAATGTATGCATAGATGGAATTAACTGATAGTGTAAACGTGATATGGATTGCATCAGTTATGGTAATTGTTAGAGAAGTAAGTTGCATGTCTTTGTTTGTCATATAACAGACTGTAATTTGGATTTCTTGGTTTAATACTGTTTTAATTATATTTACACAGTCTTTAAGCATAGTAAATTCTTGGAATTAGCTATGTTTTGGTTGGAAGTAAATTGATATAACAATTCAGTTGATTTTATCCATTAGTGGACTTGATGCATGATGTAAATGCTATGTTTTTATAAATAACAAATTGAATGGTTGGAATATAATTTCTAGGCCTGGACTGAATGCCTAAGTTGTATAATTATGGATTAATTTGGTTTGTGAATAATTTGGGAGTTGGGTTGATAACTATCTAGTACTGTTTTATCAACTCTGTTAACTGGAGGAGGGTATGTATCGGTATGGGACGATGACATACTAGGTATGGACTAATTCCAATACTAAGTCCTACCTAATTTGGATTAAGGTATGGATTAATCATAATGGTTAAGTCCATCACCTACATGTGTCATATCAGTTGTGAATTGAATGACCTACTATGATTTCAGGGTGGATTTGTTATACATATATCAGACCACTACACAGATGGATAGTATACTGTATTGGGAGGAGTACGGACTTTATATATATATATTATATGGTGCCGTGGTATGAGCTTGAGTCTCATGACCATGGTTAGGGCGCGTATATTGCCTAGGATGGATAACTGGACATAGGTGTTGTTTCCTGGTAGGTCTAGGTACTCATGCCTACCCTAGGGTACGTATTCGCATGTTGCCTTCTATTCAGGCTGAGACAAACCTACTGGACTAGCGAGCGTCCTATAGTGTGTACTATATACATATATACTACTCTAGATATTGTTGGGTCTTCCTAGGATGTATCTGCGTATCGGATTACTGTTTGGATTGTAGTAGATCAGGACTTGCATGTGGGCCTGACCCATTTCTTTATTTTTTTCAGGTGCTCGTCAGTTCCAGGGTTAGAGTTTGGACGTGCAGAGCAGATACAGCTATTCATTCCTCCGATTATGTAGGAATCTTCTCTATGTTAGCTTTGGATTTTATTTTTTTATTATTATTTCAGTATCTTTTGGAGAATTTTTAATAAGGGGTCCAATGGATGGATTCCCGAGTTGTTAACCTATAGATTTTGGGATTTAACAGTTTTCAATAATTATATTATTTTAAGGATTTTCAATTAGCATTCTTTTAGCTTATTATTATTATTTTTTTATTTCATCCTGTATTCTGTGTTCAATTACATATTAATTGTTTGATATCCCTCGGGTTTGGGCCTGGACCTGATCAACCCGTGTCTCAGATCCGAGGGGTATCACAAACCCCAAGAATTTATAATTTGCATTATCATGAGATTGTGGGATATTCTCGTGGATTGGTTTGTCTCTGTGAGTATGATCATTGAAAAAGCACTTATTTGGTAACAATTTGGAACCCTGTAACTAGGTAACATATTTTTCTTCTTGATTTAAACCTTGCGGTCGATTCTTATGGGATATTTGAAAAAAATAATGTCTTTTGGTTTTGATAGCAATACAAACGATCTTCAGGTGGTCTGTATTAACCGTCTTCCTAGATTGTGCATAATTTGTGTATATTCATTGAAAAATGGTATTTGGACAAACAAATATGAAGAAGATATACCCAGTCTTAGGTGTGATGGTTTAGGTGCATTTGTTGATGGACGGGTTCACTGGTTCTTTTGGGGTGATGAGTCGAATCCCCTTTAAATTCTAGTATACCAGTTGCATGATGGAGTTGTTTTGAATATAGAGGTCCCAGCCTTATTAAATTGTCAGTGGGTTTCTCATAAACTGTCCTTGGGTGACCTTCAAGGAAAATTGGTCATTATGGAAAACAATTACAACAATTGCGGAACAATCTCAATCTGGGTTATGGATCGATAAGGTTTGGTAGCCTCTTGGGGTAACCTTTATAGGTTATCATTTGAGAATGCCCTTTATGCTAGAGTAGTGAGTTCTACCGTGTCTGATAAGCTTGTTTTAATCTTAGATGATGGATTAATGGCACTTAATGTTGAAGGTTGGCCGGAAAATGAAACCTCTGTGATACGTTTGAAAGTTGGAAATTCGAGGAAGAAAAGTCTTAGGTTAATTGGTAAATAGGAATCATTTTGGGTTCATACATTTAAGAAGTCTCTTTTTTTGATGGACCAGAAGAATAGAGGGTTAGGGGAGCAAGCAACACGCTATTTGAGGCTGGTAAGTAAAATCATTCTCGTCCTTACTAAGAACTATGATTTTATACATTTTCCCTTTTTTTGAAGATTTGATCAATTTATATTTTCCTTTACAGATTTGATGTCAAGCCCCTCAAATGGCAGCAACACTATTACTTTTTTGTAGAGCTTAATGTCACGTTGTGATTCCTAACGATGCCATGAGCATTGAAGATACACATGCTGATTGGCTAAGAACATTCATTGACTGGGAATGGTTCCAGGGAAAGGGCGTGCAGGACCACAGGATGGTACCTCTTCAGAGTTCAGGCAGGTCGACTCAATTCAGTTCGAGGTGCTTGTCGCTGGTCATGGACTTGACTATGAGAAAGGGAGTTGGCCATCCATGCACACAAACTGGTCGGGAGCTGGAGCCGTTTCCCTGACGAGGCCACAGCAGGCCGAAACCAGTCAGCATGTATCCTTAGAAGGGCAGGTCGTAGTGGCTGACTTGGGCGCTTGCGCGAGTTGAAACAACGCATTGGTGCCGCACAGGCCGTGTCGCTGTGCCAAATCTCTACCCCGTGACAAATGGTATCAAAGCAGGACTTGGGGCAAAACACAGAGGTGTGCCCCCTTGTCGATCTGGGGGGAGGGGGGGTCTTGAGAATGAAGTGGGTGCACTGAAGTGTCGGTGGGCAATCAATGCTATTGGAGGAGAGCCTTCATCTCCCAGGAGGATGCGTCCTTTGTAGGCCGGAGGGCCACACGCACCAAAGTTCTTGTAAGTTTAATGGGGATGCAAACCATTGTGAATGACGAGTATCAAGTCAATCGAAGGGCCCTTGTTTGTTCGGGGTGTCGTGGAGGCGGCATAACGTGGAATTGCGTCCTAAAGAAGTGGGCGTCCTTTTATCATTAGGCGAGTGCAGCCAAGGGTTGTAAAAAGAAGCAATGGTGGGCAGGAGAGCATACCACTTTGAGGAAAGAGACTTTGGAATGTTGGATGCAGTGGAGTCAATGTTGTACTGCGATGAGGGTGTCGCAACGTTTAGGTAGGAGAGTGTCACGTTGTGATTCCTAACGACGCCATGAGTATTGAAGACACGCATATTGGTTGGCTAAGAGCATTCATTGACTGGGAATGGTTCTAGGGAAAGGGCGTGCAAGACCACAGGATGATACCTCTTCAGAGTTCAAGCAGGTCGACTAGGTTCAGTTCGAGGTGCTTGTCGCTGGTCGTGGACTTAATTATGAAGAAAGAAGTTGGCCATCCCTGCACAAACTGGTCTGGAGCTGGAGCCATTCCCTTGACGAGGCCACGGTAGGCCAAAACCAGTCAGCATGTATTCTTAGGAGGGCAGGTCGTGGTGGCTAACCAGGGCGCTTACGTGAGCTGAAGTAACGCCTTGGTGTTGTACAGGCCGTGCCGCTGCGCCAAATCTCTAGGCCCGTGACATTAAGCTTGGTTAGAGAAAAAAGTGTCAGTAGTTTGTGTTGTTGTATGTTTTTCCAATATTGATTTGGTACGTAGCTTAGACTAAAAGTTGTATTGAGTTGGTTACAAAACTCTGCTTAGAATGAGGTTGTGTAGTAGGACCAAACTTTGGAATTAGTCTTATGTCACCCAACAATTTTTTCAATTTGACAAACCTAGGTGAGCTACAAATTAGATTTCTGGGCCAATTCCAAACTGTTTAGGACTTCCAAAATACCACTAGCTTTGTCAAAACAAAAAGTGGCAAATTCTTGTTCAAGTTTGATCTATAAATTAGCACAAGAGATTGTTTAATAGCTATCCCTAATTGAAACCTTGAGAAGTAGTTTTACTCTCACAACTACTAATAGATGTGGGTACTGTCCAAATGTTAGACATTATACTATTAGTAATAGAGGATGTGGCATCTCGATCTGCCTTGGAGTATTTGCATCATGGTTATTCAACCAACCCCTTACTTGTTGATGGAAACATTAATGACATAGAACAAATCCAGGGCCGGCCCTGGCCCAAAGCGACCAAGGCAGTCGCCTTGGGCCTCAAATTTTAGAGGGCCTTAAGAGGATGGAAAAAAAAAAAATTTAAGTTAGGACAAGTCTTGGTTGCCTTGGGGCTCAAAATTTTGAGGCCCACGGGGGATGATGATGATGAAAAAAAAAAAAAAAAAGAAAAAAAAAACAAAGGAGTCGTCCTAACAGTTTCAGACGACTCAATCTGCTTCGACACTCCGCAGGACGCAGCCTCCGCTATCGCCTCAGGTGACAAGGTATGTTCATCCTCTTTCTCTCTTCTCTCTCCTTTTGCGTGAATCCATCTTTTATATAGGTTTCTTTCTTTCGTTCATCTCATCATTTAATTTGTTCTAAATTTGGTTCGTTTGATTCGGGCCTTTACCTTTGTTCCAATAGTGAAAAGTAGCTTCCAAACTAGGGTTTTTTGTGTGTGTGTCACTGTGTGTGATGGCTATCAAAAGCGGAATGAATATTATGGTTCTCTTAGTATTTTAATAAATGTGTGCCTTTCTACATGTGTCTTTCATGGCGATCAAGTCCATAATCTATGGCAGGCACAATTTTTTTTTTTTTTTTTTTTTTTTTACCCTCTCCTTAGTTCCACTCCAATCTCACAACAGCAGCAATCATTCCCCTTTTCCTCATAAGTTTTTGCATTTTCACATTCAATCCTACGAAAATTAAGGATCCCTTCTAGTGGGTTGAGCCGTTGAGGTAATAATTAATTTTTCGATCTCTAAATTATGCTCATACTTAAAAGTGCCAAATTAAGGGTTTTTTTATATTTTATTTTTATATGAAGATACATACCACCATTATTGATGTTATTTGAAGTTGGTTCAGCTAGAATTTCAGTTAATAATACTGTCAAAGCACTTGCCATCAAAATGTACAAACACATGGAAATCAAGAGCAGGCTTTAACAAAACAAAAGTTAATGGTTTTTTCTATTAATTTGCACAGGTCTTCTGTAGCAATGATCAATCAATCACTGCTACTAAAGTTGATTCCTCATCCTGAAATCAAGAAAGGGGTAATTGGCTCCCAAAAAAAACACACACAAAGTGTAGTTAATATAAAGAGTGAAAGACAAAACTATATATGATTGTGGATGCCACATATAACCTAAAAGTCCCACTACTTCTTCAGCACTACAAGTTCAGCCTCCTATATATATAGTCACCTCATCTCCACATATTTTTGTCATCTGTAGTCATCAAATTTTAGCAGCTGTATAAATAATGAATGTAAAAAAGAAGCTGCAGTTTTCTGTTCCCCCCCATTTCCACTTTTGGACTGTATATTGGATACTCTGTTTTGTCTCCTCTCCTCTCCTCCAGATTCCAGTGAAAACTCCAGCCAGGAGATCATTCGACCAAACTGTTTGATTTTAGATTTTTTTTATTATATTTATTGTATAATCGGCAATGCTTAGTTATTATTGTTTCTGTTTGATTCTCCATCCGTTTTATGTTAATTGTGATCGTCTTTCACATGCTAGCAGGACACTCTTCTTAGGATCTCGTGAGGTTATTTGCCTTGAACTTGAATCAAATCATTGCATATTGAGGTAATATATATTTTCTTTAAAGAAAGCAAATTATTATTATTATTTTTTTGAAGCCTAGTTTTATGTTGATTATGGTTCCTGTTATTTAAATTTCAAGAGATTTCATTATGTCTACAAGAAAATTTGAATCTGGCATGAAAAAAGGGAAAAAAGAAGAAGAGAGAAGAAGAATTGATTCAATCTCAAAAAGAAGATAATCTTAAGTTTTTTAGGAGCAATACACAAATAGAGAGTTTAGTTGAAGATTCGGTGAATGAAGAACATATGAATGCGAAAGCAAATGAAGAAAATCTCAATAAACATGAAGATTTAATGAATGAAGATCATAGGAAGTTAGTCAAAGAACATGAAGATTTAATGAATGAAGATTATAGTTATTTGTTAGTTGTCTTATGCACAATGTACATGCGCACAATTAAATTAGCTATAGAATTTGAAAACATCGTGTGAAAATTCCGCACTCTTATAATTTTTTTTGCGCGTGTGAAACTTAAGGGCCTCACATTTGAAAGTTTGCCTAGGGCCTCTCAAAATATTTGGAATCTCAGGCCAGCCCTGAACAAATCATTTGTAGTGTGTGTGATATGCAGCATAAAACAACCACAAGCATCAAAATGTGAGGCAACAGCAAGCTAAAAACATAATTTAAGCATCTATTAGGAGCCATTTATACAATAGAATAGTAGAAGACAAACTAACTATCAGTCGTCTCTAACTTCACCACCATATAAGTTCATGAATCAGGACATCAAACCGGCCCATTCAATAAATATAATTATTAACCAAAGTAAAAATATATCTAACAAAAAGCTTGCACCAAATATACTAACGAATTGAAAATGTGACAGATGACTTGTTCGCATGCACATGACATGGGCAACCTAGCAAGAGAAATCACAACAGATCACAGTTTGTTCAGTAAAAGTTCAAACCATATGTGATAATCAACTCGATCTAATGCCACGCCATAATTCCACTGAAAATTCAGCCCTTAAAGTTTGTGAATATTTGAACCAGTTTACATTACATCCAACAAATCAACTACTTCTACACTATTTTCAACATTAGTGGCTTCTAAGATCATGGCTGGTTGGCTAAATCAAAATTTTCATCAAATGCAGCAAGTTCAGTAAGAGTACAGAATCTTTTCCACCAGAAGCTGTTAGGATTGCGCGCACACCCTATTGACAAATATAACAGATAAAAGACACACACACAAGTTTACGTGGTTCGGCAAATTACCTACATCCACGGGTGAAGATTACTTCAATACTTTGATTACACACACACAATTTCAACTCACTTTTCTCTCTCTAATTATAACTCTCTCTTCTCTTTTTTTCTCTTATCTCTCACTTGCTTTGCTCTAATATTAGCTACTTAGCCTTGCTACTTCTAAGAGAATAGACCAAAAAGAGTGCCTATCATGTTATAAAACTTCAACATCCTAATCGAAAAATCTTCTTTTTCTTCAAACACAAACTAACTCTTACTGGTGAACAGAGTAACATGGCCCAAAAATTCGAAGTTTCGAAGGGACGACTGATCGTAGGAAGTGGCTACCGGTTGTCCAAGCCCAGAAAATGACTCTAACCCACATTTCAATTGTTTTCTAGCCTTGGTCAAGAATTGGTTACTTGGACCATGCAAAATCTATCCCAATGACCATAGATATATACTCGCATAATGATATAATGACATTTGAACATTAAATGATATTGGTACATCATTCATTCACCAAAATTAAATCCCAATGCATCATCATATCTAAGTAAGACAATTTAGTTAAATATATATGACCAAATAAATAAATGTATTTACATTGCCGTTTTAATAAATACAAAATAATATAATTAAACCCAAAACTATACAAATAGACTACAATTGACGTCAAGATTTCACTTCCTAACAAAGTCTACAATTGTGAAGATGAATTATCCACTTCGTCCCTTTCGAGTCCTGAAATGTTGAAATGTTTAAAATAAAGGAGGGGTGAGCACCACCGCTCAATAGAGGATGATTAAATAACGTTTCCTCAAGTCGAGTAACCATGGCTGTGATACCCCCCAATTTCCGAACGCGGGTTAATCAAGTCCTCGCTCAAAAATTGAGAAATATCAAACAATTAATATTTTAAATAGTGTACAATAGCAAAACAACATATGAAAGTGCTTTAGTAATATTTGCTGCAATTTGAATAGTATCGAAACATTTATGGGAAAAAAAGACCAAAACCGAAAATACCACATTTGGGTTCTCGATCACTTACAAATGGTAACAAAAGCAATAATGTAGTGACAATACTCAAATAATAATTACAATACTCAAATAATAATAATAAGTAGTCAATTTTATTTTTCAAACACGCAACACTTTTTTTATCAAAAATGTTTTTATGTTTTTAAATCTATGGGAGCACAATGTTAAAAAATAAAATTCAATAAATAAGACAAGAAAACTATATTCTTAAAGTAAAGAGGTAAAGAAGAAAAAATTATTACAAAATAATATGTGAATCAGTATAAGAAAGATAAATAGTTACCAAAAATTAAAAAAGAAAAGAAAATATGAGAACTTTGAAATGGAAAAAAATTAGAGTTTGATTCAAAATGAAAATTTTAAATTTTTTAACGAAACTAAAAAAAATTGAGAGTAAAAGAGAGAAAAATAAAACTTAAAAAGATAATTTTAAAAAATAAAAATTTTAGGTGAGCATCATATGAATATTTTCATCTATATGGGTAATATAGTAAGCGGGGCTGGGACATGTGCCCCTGGTTATAAACTTATACAGTAGCTCCACCCAAGTGTCTTCGCTTATAAAAAAAACTTTTAGCAAATATAACTTTACCAAAAGATACTTCTGAATAATATTAAATACATTAAAAAAAAAAATCTAAAACAGAAGCACGAGCTAAAAACTTTCCCAAACAGGTCCTTCATGAGCCTCTATAGTTCTATTTGAAATCTTTCATGCTTTGTTTGGAACCAATTATTTTGAGATTTGGAAAAGGAATAGGAATTGAAATAGGAATTGGAATTAAAATGAAATTCCATTTATATGTTTGGAACAAATTGGATATGAAATAAAAATAATATTATATCATTTTTTCCCTTGTTTAAATGATAAATGATATATTTATTTTATTATAAAATATATTTCAAAATTACATCAAATAGACCAACAACGTGAATGACTTCATGATAGAACTGAAACATAAAATTTATTTAACAAATCAATTAAAAAAGAATAATTATTTATTAATTAAAAAAAAAACTAATTTATTCAACTACCATCCCCAACATACTTAAATCAGCATATTTAAAAAAAGAATACTAAAATGTAAACTTAAGTCTAAGCATTGATTTAATTAATATTTTAAATAAGTTCATTTATTAAATACTAAACATGCTTATTAAAATATATTAATTACTTTGCAACAAAAATAATATGTATATTAAGAGAGCTTCAGTTTCTTAAAACTGAGCTTAAGAGATGGAATAAAGAAGTTTTTGGGAATCTTGAATGGAAAAAGAATAGAGCCCTTGCTGATATTGCTGAGCTTGATCGTTTAGCTGAGGTGGGACAGAGTAGGGAGTCTTTACGCTCTCAAAGAGCCTCTTGTCAAGCGGTTTTTGCTGAGATTGCTCATATGGAGGAGATTTCGTGGCGTCAAAAGTCTCGGGCTTTGTGGTTAAAAGATGGTGATCGGAATACAAAATTCTTTCATAGACTGGCCAATGCTCACAGAAGGTGTAATCATATCGGAAGTATTCGGGTTAATGATTTTGATTTGTGGAGAGAAGAAGATGTGCGCGGAGGAATTGCTTCTTTTTACCAGCAGCTTTACACTGAAACTTTGGATCGAAGACCTACTCTAGATGGTCTTCCATTTAATACTATTTCTGCGATGGATAGGGATAGTATTGAGATTCCATTCACGGAAGAGGAAGTGCTTAAGGCACTTTCTAGTTGCAACGGGGACAAAGCACCAGGGCCAGACGGATTTACTATGCGCTTTTTTAAGGAGAGTTGGGAGGTGGTGCGAGAGGAGGTGATGAGTACTTTTTAGGATTTTTATTCTCATGGCACATTTGAAAAATCTTTGAATGCATCTTTTATTGCTCTCATCCCTAAAAAGGGCGGTGCATCTGATATCAAGGATTTTCGGCCAATTAGCTTAATCGGATGTATGTATAAGCTTATTGCCAAGGTTCTTGTTTCCAGGATGAGTAAAGTGTTGGATGGTCTTATCTCAGAATCGCAGAACGCTTTTGTTGGTGGAAGGCAGATTTTGGATTCTGTTCTTATTGCTGGAGAATGTGTTGACTCTAGATTAAGAAGCGGGGTTCCTAGCGTTTTGTGTAAGCTTGATATCGAGAAAGCTTATGATCATGTTAATTGGAAGTTTGTTTTGTATCTTCTTCGGAGGATGGGATTTGGTGATAGATGGATAAAATGGATTGACACTTGTATCTCATCAGTTATGTTTTCTGTTCTTGTGAATGGCTCTCCTGCGGGTTTTTTTGCTAGCTCACGTGGTCTGCGACAAGGTGATCCATTATCTTCTTTTCTTTTTCTCATCGTTATGGAAGGTCTGACTAGATTAATGAGAAAAGCGGAAGATTTGGGTTACATTAGGGGGTTCAGAGTTGGCAGAGATGTTGATCATCAGATCTAGATTTCCCATCTTTTATTTGCTGATGATACTTTGGTATTTTGTGATGCTGATATTTCTCAACTCAGATATCTGAGGTGCACTCTTGCTTGCTTCCAAGCAGTTTCTGGGCTTAAGATTAATGTCGGAAAGAGTGTGCTTGTTCCAGTGGGGGATGTTCCAGATATTTCCTCCTTAGCTGCTGTTTTAGGGTGCGGAGTTGGTTCTTTTCCTCTTCCTTATTTAGGATTGCCTTTGGGAGTTTCTTCTACTCTGGTTGGGAATTGGGACTCAGTGATTAATAGATATGAGAAAAGATTAGCAGGATGGAAAAAGCAGTATCTATCTAAGGGTGGGAAAGTCACACTTATAAAGAGTACTCTTTCATCCCTTCCTACCTATTTTTTGTCTTTGTTTCAAATTCCATATTCTGTTGCTGATAGAATTGAAAAAATTTAGAGGGATTTTCTGTGGGGTGGAAGGGGAGAGGAGTTTAAGTATCATCTTGTTAATTGGGATCAAGTTTGCCAACCATTGAGATTCGGAGGGTTAGGCATTCGAAAAATTGTTCCTTTTAATCGTGCTCTCTTAGGAAAGTGGTTATGGCGATTTGGAAGGGAACGACATCGTCAGTGGAGAAGAGTTGTCTCGTGTCGTTTTGGTGAGGGGAGTGGGGGTTGGTCATCTCTTCCAGTTACTATTACGGGAGGCGTTGGTTTGTGGAAATTTATTCGGAAGGGATGGGATGTTTTCTCTACTCTTATTAGATTCAAAGTTCGTAATGGCAGGCATGTTCGTTTTTGGGAGGATCTTTGGTGTGGCGACCAGTTGCTTTCACACTCATTTCCTAGGCTTTATAGCATTGCAACTAATAAGCATGTTTTCGTGATTGATTGTAATCATCTTGATAACAATGGAGTTACGTGGGATGTGCGGTTTAGGCGGTCTTTTCAGGATTGGGAAATGGAGGAAGTTTCTGCTTTTTTGGATATTTTGTATAGGCAGAAGGATATTGGCAGAGGGTGTGATGATATTTTGTGGGTTCCTTTGGCTCATGGTCGGTATGATGTCCGCTCTATGTTTATTCATTTATCCAATTTCGTTGGTTCCGAGTTTCCTTGGAAGTCCGTGTGGTGCTCTAAAGCCCCTCTTCGAATCGCGTTCTTCGCTTGGACAGCTACATTGGGGAAGATTTTGACTTTGGACAATTTGAGAAAGAGAGGCAACATCATTGTTAATTGGTGTTGTTTATGCAAAGACGATAGTGAATCCGTGGATCATATTCTTTTGCATTGTCCTGTGGCGTTTGGTTGTTGGAGTTTTATTTTCAGCATTTTCGGCATTTTTTGGGTAATGCCTAAGCACTCCTCTCAGTTGATTAACGCTTGGAAAAGCTGTCCTGTTAAGAAACAAGCTCGTGCTTATTGGAAGATTGTTTCTCATTGTGTCTGGTGGTG